CAGCCTAGTTTCCTAAGAGCAAATAACAAAAACTGTTTTTGAACTGATTCTATACGATTTATATAAGTTTCATGATATGGAGCCCACACTGCAATATTCGAGGATTTATCTCACGTAAGCTATATAAAGTGCTTTGATGGTATATGGGTCTTTAAAATGATAACTAAATCTTTTTTATGAATCCTAACATTATTTGCTTTGTGAATTGTGGTATTCACATGATCTACAAATGTCAATTTCGAGTCAAGAATTACTCCTAAGTTTCTAATTTTATCGCACCTTACAACCAGCTAGTTTCCAAGAGTACATGTAAAATCTAGAGTAGTGTGTTTTCTGGAATAAGATATAATATTGCATTTTTTAACATTAATGTCCAGCAGACTTTAACGTTCCCATTGTAGAAAACATCAATTTCATTTTGAAAATGTAGCAAATCAGAATTGTTAAAGATTTCCATGTACAGTTTCATATCGTCAGCATATATGAGCACATTTAAAAGATTTAACACAAACTTCACGTCATCCACAAATAAAATAAATAATAAAGGACCTAAATGAGATCCCTATGGAACTCCCGAGGTAACATTAACTGGCGAAGATATTTTTTCTTTAAAGCGGACCATCTGTGTTCTTTCTGTCAAGTATGATCCAAGCCATTTTAAAAGTGTACTTGTCATACCTAAACGTTTTAATTTAATTAGGCGAAACCAGTGAGTGGTACAAAGCCAACGATGTTGTTTTTGTGCTGAAGAAGGCAAATACGCCATACGCACCAGAACTTCACCCAATAGAAAAATTCTGCGAATTATGAAGGGTAAGCTTCGGAAAACAGGGAAGGTTTCTAAAACGACAAGGATTTGAAGAAAGAGTGGATGAAAGTGTGTATGAAAGGTGGCGCAAGTGTTGCACAAGATTTGTTAAGTAGCGTTAAGTCCAAGGTGCGGGCATTTAGCCTAGGTGAGAAGGTAGAATAAACCAACTATTCAAAAACATAGGTAATATATGTTTATTTATTCCCTGAGATTTTCAAAAATATCTGACTTGGTGATCATTTTTGTCTGTTTCATTTGTTTCGAGTACAGCCTTTGAAGCTATGTTCATTTTGCTGAAATTATAGAAAAATTGTGATCCATTTAGCTAAAAGCTGTTAAACGTTTCTGTTGACATTTCGTCAATATCTTTTAAAAATTATGAACATTTGAATGGATGGATGGGATGGAGCAAACTTTGTTTTGTTTGACAATTTGATTGGAATATATGATTTGAAGGTTGTAACCAATTTTGTTATAAGGGGCTCTTCATAAGCCACGTAGCACCTTGAGGGGTTGACAATTCATGCAGGTTCACGATTCATACAAATTTAAAAAATAATGTGTGGATGGTTGTCTACGCGTCAGCGACGCCAGTAGTGTAGTGGTAGTGTGATTGCCTCTAACCCCAGCAGGCCTGGGTTCAATTCCAGTCGGTGCCGCCGGGATGTTCTGAGGCACAACATCTCTGATCACGCCTTCCTTCGGAAGGGTAGTAAAGCCATTGATCCCCGGTTTATGAGTTGATGATGGGTCTATAAGTAGGGTCCAGGTGTGGGAACTGCCTCCCTGGCGTCGGTAGCATTGGTGCTCAGCACGGAAAACAAGATTGACGGAAAACAAATCAAGGAAAAAAAAAACAGATGGTCTACGTGGGTTTGAGGGGGGACCAAACTTGCCCAAAACCTGTCAGCGTAGCTTATGAACAGTCGCTAAGTTGTGACAAATGCCAAAACAAATTTTCATATTTGTATGAAACTCACTCGAAATTATGACGAATTTCGAATATTTAGCTGTCAATTTTCTTTGCGAAAGTTTGTTACCGATTTTGATAAAAATGTTAATATATATTGTTAAAGATTGCTTAAACATGGTTGAAATTTTTACGAAATATTTAATTTTCTTTCGGAAATTAATTAAAAAGTTATTGCGTGAAGTCGGAGCCATGCTAACATTTATACACAGTTAGAAAAATACTTGAACAAATATTAATTTAGCCCATTGAGAATTGTATACATGTGCAATCAGTGACAACTGCTCTGCCTCACCCTGTACTTGGGATTAGCTGAACTCTTGAACGAGTTTGATCTACATACTGATATTCATAAGCACCAAAAATTGAATAACTCTCAAAATAGTTCTATTTTGATATATTTACTTGATTATCCCCAAAAACTCCTATTATTGAGAGTTTTTGTATGGCCTTGCAAAGAAATATAGACATTGAAGGAAATATGCAAAAATATGACTATCCTATGTCCAGAAAACCGTGAATTACTAAAAACGAGCAACAATAGGCGTATATTATTCTGTATTTTTCATTCATTTATATGGCAGACTCAATCGAGTTAGTTTTACTGACCCATTCTTTTTTCTAATTATAATAAATCATTTATGAGATCATTTTTTCCATGCAAGCAACTGGTTGCTGTTTGCTTCCGACTGCTGAGCCTGACTTCCGCTTGCTTGACCGTTCTCTTCAGTCTCCGATTTCTAGCATTTAAAATATCAATCATCAATATTGAATTGTAAAATGTTTACTGTGTAAGAAGTTTCGATCCATCCCAAGACTGAAGAGGCAATCACTAACCTCAAAAAACTTGAAGGATACACTGTCAGGGCCTGATTTCTGGACAGTACTGTTAAATTATATCAAAAATAAAATTAAAAACCCCCTTCAATGATAAATTTTGCACATTTCACCCATCTTCTGAACCATACAGTAGCAAATTCGCGGAAGGTCCCATTGAGAGCGCTTATCTTAACCGACGAACGGTGTGGTCGCCCGTATCGTCTGCCTCGTTACTTCCAGCCAATTCAGGTCAAGCCCAATATGGGAATATTGCACTCTGCCTGAAGCGAAGTAACCCATATGCTTTATAAGCATCATACACATAACTGCCACGACTGGCATTGGTTGTGTACGGAAAGCGAAATTGGCCAAAGAAAACCCACCGAAGCGTAATCACAAACGAGACTTCAACACTCTTCTTTTCAGGGGTTAGCTTGGAACTGCATTCCCGATATTCTGATGTCACTTCGTTTTCGAAATGGCGAGGAAGAGGTGTGCTGCAAGTTCACGAAGCTGCGCATATATCGCTCTCTTTACGACCTATTAAGCAAAACTTCCATTAAATCTAAATTGTCTACATGCATCATTTATCTTCATTTCATTATGTTTATATTAGTTAGTGCCAGCCGTGACGCACGGTTTGGCTAGTGAGTCAATGAGTTGCCTCTGCATAGGCAAGCGGACACATGTGACTGATGGGTGAATCGATGAAATTCTTCGCCTACCATGATTCGCGCAAGCAACTTAATCATGTTTTTAAAATAATAAACACAGTAGCCTGAAAAGTTGTTTGATGAAGTAGCAATCATGGTCCGTTCGTGGGTCCTACAGCAGCAGAAAAAGAAGACGACGGGCAGCGTAAAGTAGGGGCAACAAAAACTTATTGAAACTAAATACCTATCACTTTAAAATCACTTCTACATAGGGCTGCTGTTGGTAGTACCTCGTTGATGATGATGGGGGGCCAAAACACACCCGGTAAGTTTGGGAAGAGTGCAAAAGCAGGAAAGTAAAAAAAAAAAAACCGAAGCTCGTCTACTGAGAAGTGCAATCCAAAGTAAAAAAATTCGATGGGCGTGGAACAAGCTGGGAACGAAAACGAAAACTAAAATAAAAAAAAGTTCGGTCTATAAGAGAGTAAACCAGTCGAGTTCTGAGGAGTCGAGAAGAGTTTATGGTAGGATAAAAAATGTTATCAAAACAACAAGACGTGAAGTGATCCACGGCGACCAAAACATTGCACGGTTGTTTTGACGTTGGGTTCCTTACAAGTTACGGTCGATGGGTTTCAGTTGCTTTGGGAAAGAAGTAGATTTATGTTATAAAGAGAATAATGATGGAATAATAATGGCCTAATATCGCGATCCATGCCATATCACAAGCTTCATGTTAAATAGCATGATGGCATCTTTTACACTTCATTTCCCCTATCGAAATGGCACGGTGTTAAAAATCACGGTTCAAAAGCGATAAAGAATGGATTGAGACCGTGCCGTAACCGAAAGCGGAAAGGTTTTATATGCATAAAGGAGACAAAAACAACTGTGAAAGGATTCGGTTTCCAAGAAGGCAAAGTAGGTCTCCAAGATTTCGTGCAGCAGTAGATTTCGGGGAAGTTGGACTTAGTTGCTGCTGTTTTTAACTCTATCTGATCTGGGTATCAACCCGTGAAAGTAGGTTAACAAACCATAAAGTCATAATAGACAAATGTTAGGCAGAAATCGGGATTTCCCTCGAAGTTAATCCGATGGCTAGCATTTCCAACTGATTGAATATCGAGCACTCTGTCATCTGCAAACATCCTCCTAATCAGATTGTAATTTTGCAAACTTGATGAACTTTGCAGTCGCAACTCAATCACCCTCGACTCCACCTTCCTAGCAATTTTCTCCTCACTTACACACGTGCCAAAAAATTTAACAGCTTCTTGACGGCACAGCAGTGCTGTCAAAACGCTGTGAACGAACGCGTGTTGGGGATGACTAGCATGACGACACATCCCTCGAGGGCAATTTCCCCCGTAACAGTCTAGTTGACTCCGATGTTCTGTTCATCCAAGAATGCGGTGATTTTTCACCTTAGCTTGTCAGACGCAGAACACAACGGCAAACTTTCTGCACGAAATAAATCAAAACGATACAGATGTCTTGCAACTGACATTGTAGACTTGAATTGTGACTTTTGAAAATGAGTACAGAAAATGCTTTCAGGGATAAACATTGCTAAACCGTCCCTGTTAATATGTACAAACCAGGTTAATATTCAACTAGAATATGCTTAAACTTCCACCGCAAAGCTCTTCCGAAGAATTCTTTGGAGCCAAACTGTATCCATCCAGCGGAAGAGGAGGAATTTATTAATAACCCAGTGAAATAATAAAAACTAATTATAAATACTCACCTTCATGCAGGCATGAACGCCGGCTCCATAGCTGAGCAGCTCGCTAACCATGTTCTCGTGACCGCCCTGACAGGCGACGAACAGTGGCGTACCACCATCCTTCGAATGCCGGAAATTGTATAACACCAAAAGTCCCGGAAGGTGAGCGACGACGCAGAAAGAACGAAAAAAAATACGAAGAAAGTAAAAGGATTTAATTAAAAAATATTCATTTACACAATGAATCACGGCGGCCATGGCGACGATGATGATGAAGGAGAAAGAGTTTAGAGTGACAGTGAGTGTTAGTGAATAAAACGAACTACGTAGGTAACCTACCTACCGTCGACCGGTGACGGTAAAGTTAAAACAAAAAAGTGCATTTAGAAGTAAAACAGCTACGGGGTATTAGTAGAAAGCAATCTTCGAAATTAAAAATGCGATTGACAGGAAGGAGTAAGGGAATTCTTTTGTATCGGAAGCCGGAGAAGACGTGGCTACTTACAACCGAGGAACAGTCCACTGGTGCTCCGGCTTTGAGCAGTATCCTAGCAACGTCCACGTAACCGCCCTGGGCAGCGAAGAAAAGCGCCGTCGTCCCGGTCTGCAATGGATGGATGGAAGGGTGGGAGAAAATGGTTACTCTTAAGTTTATGTTTCTGGTGGACTGTAAGCTCGCTTTTTATGCTTCAGTGGGTAGCCAGGCACACAGCATATTTTAGCTATAAAACGTCGTTTATGTTTTGACTTGTTAAAATGTTCCAGGTAAGGTGTTTCAAATCTCAGCTGACAGCTCAAATGACATATATGCAAAACTATTTGCCAATTATTTCAAACTTCCCAATTGAAGCACACCTCTTCGAGTTTATAGAGATGCGGTTAAAGCTGGCCGTAAAAATCTCGGATAATTGTGTGTAATTACCGTCTTTACATGATTAAATTTACATAAATTACCGTCCTATTTAAATCTTTGTGCGTGATCAAAGTGTGCCCTGCTTCTAAACAGGCGCGAAAATTTTCCTGTTGTCAAATTGTTCGTCTTAGATTTTTCGTCGCGTTTTTCCAATTTTTGTCTCGATGCGCTCTGCCACTCGATAACATATTTATTTTAAGTGCCTGACTTCAGGATTTTATGGCAAAACGAAGGATATTTGCAAGTGTATTTTCACACCTGTCTACATTGGAGAATGGAGTCCCACAAGGCTCGGTTCTGTCTGTGACTTTGTTCCTCGTGGTTATGCAACCGATTTTTCGGGTGGTTCCAAATGGTGTCAAGGTTCTTCTTTATGCCGACGACATCCTTTTGATCGTAGTAGGCCTAAAGAATCAAAACTTAGGTCGAAAGCTTCAAATTGCTGTCAATGCGGTGGTCAAATGGGCGATAAGCATTGGTTTTTCTATATCATCTAGCAAATCAAACATCTTTACGGTGGCGACGAGCATTAGGCCAGCCCAAGAAAGATGTAACCATAGATCGCATCCCAGTACCAAAGCGGCTCAAAATTCTAGGTGTCACGCTAGACCAGACCTTCACCTTTAGAGCACACTGTATCCATAATGTCAAAAACTGCGCCACGCGACTACGAATCCTGACCATGGTTGGTCACGCCTTCTGTACGGAATAGGTCTAGTTAGCAGAGGAGGCCATACGGCCCTTAAAATCCTCTCCCTAACCTACAACCGGATGATTAGACTCGCATCTGGAGCATTCGTCACAAGCCTTACACTCGCTATCATGGCTGAATCTGGCATGCTACCATTAGACCTTCTGGTACTACAATCGTTAGCACGGGTGACGATTCGGCTTTTAGAGAAAATTAGTGACGCCACCGATCTTCCAGTCATTCAAAGAACATTACAGCTATATACCGAAAAAACCAATTCAACTATTCGCAGAATCTGTCAGCGCAATAGGATCACAGAATGGCACTGGAATGTACCAAAACCTACGATCGTCTGGGACGTTAAACAGATTATTAGGGCTGGAGACCCGCCAGAAAAAGTACGACCCATAGTACAGGATTTAATCGAACGACACTTTCAAGGACACACCATACTTTACACCGATGGCTCCAAGAGTGACGATACAGTCGGCGCAGGCCTTTTTGGAGCTGGCGTTAGCAAATCCGTAGCCATCCCTCGTCAGTACAGCGTGTACTCAGCAGAGGCCTATGCCCTGAACCTGGCACTCAAGACTTCATCCAAAAAGCCAATAGCTATCCTAACGGACTCAGCCAGCTGTCTTTATGCTCTCGAGTCTGGTAGGTCTACACATCCATGGGTCGAAAGTATTGAAACCGCATTTCGCAACAAAAACATAAAATTCTGCTGGATTCCTGGTCATGCTGGTACTCAAGTAAATATTTCTGCAGACCGTCTAGCGGGTGAAGCTAGAAAGAACGAACCACATGATATCCCAATACCAGCCATGGACGCAGTAAGAGAAGTCCAAAGCGTTTTACGAGAACGATGGAACCAACTATGGTTCAATTCGCAGGAAGTTAGGCTCCGCGAGATAAAATCCTACACAAGCCAATAGAAGGACAGCGCGAACCCCGCAGACCAACGGGTCCTAACCCGATTGAGAATAGGACATACGAGACTCACCCAGGCATGGAAAATCATTTGCATTCATTTCATACATTCATTTACATTCATTTGCCTCTAACTTTTTTCATCAACAGCATTCCGCAAAATGATGTATGGAGCTTTTATATGTTTTGTTATTAACTACAACTTTTGCTCATAACTCAAATCTGTATCTCGTATGTATCACGAACTAGAGCGGGCAGAACTTGTTACTGTTTTTCAGTGAATGTAAAATACATTCACTGAAAAACAGTAGTGGCTTCTGTTCGCTCTGGTTCATCATGCATAAGAGATACGGATTTGACTTGTTAACAAAAGTAGTAGCCGCTCACCCACGAGTTCCTGATCAACAGAACAGACCCACCTTTATGCGAATGCTGCGGCTCCATCATCGACATAAGGGGGGGAGCGACTCCGGCGTAGTGGTTAACATCCATACCTCTCACGCCAAAGTTACGAGTTCAAATCTCACCCCCGGACAAGACATGTATAACCCAAGAGTGTTAAAGTAACTATAAAAAAAAAAAAATAAAAAAAAATAAAAAAAAAAGAAACTGATCTGTACACCAAATTGTAATTAAGCCAATCTAGACATGGTTTTCCACTGATTGCAGTTGTGATTCAGATGATGTTATGTGTATGTTATGGAGTCGGACCTATGCCTTATTACGTTGATTTTCCTTTTAATTCTACTACTATTGTTTTACTTTCGCTATTCACTTTCTCACTCACTCTGCACACGCATTTTGCGTCAACTTTTTTCTCAGTGTGCCTCAACTGTGCCAACAGTGCCATGACATCGTGACGACTTTTCTTGTTTGTGAAAATTTGCATGTTTAGCAACCCGGTATTTTGACAGCTTCATTGTTTTCATTTGTTACAAACCAAATTCCTGGCCAGAACCGAATTAAGAATCATATAAGATCGAGCTCTATTCGTTCTCTTTAATAAAAGACAACCCTAAACTAAGGCAGCCCCATGCGTTATGCGATACAATTATCTCAAAAAATGTCATTCAAAGCACCCTGATAGTCTGGTAGTATATCTCAAATCCACAGTCAATTTATCCAACACTTCCTGGAGCCCATTTTGGGTCTTTTTGTGTTCAACAAATACCCTCCAAACTGCGACATTTCCCTCTGCATCCGCAAACCCCCCCTTCTGATGATTCAAGTCGCTCTGAATCTTACATGCTGCTTCCAGATGCTCGCTCATCTCCTGGACCGTAGGCTCAGCCTGTCAATTGTCTAATCTGCTTGCACCTGCCATCGTTGGATCCTCAAAAAAAAAATTACTTATTTTGGGTGTGCGTGAAATATTCCGTGTAAACTGCGAATGTCTGGCTTTAGGAATTCCTTTAGAATCATTACCCACTGGTCTTTGATACGGTCTTACTAATAACTGACCAGACATCTTAATGAAGAAATAGTTGATGAAGTACCGCCTACATATTGTATCCGCGAGCTTTCGGTACCTGTCCTGGAAGGTTATCCAACGAGTGAAGTATCGTGCGGTATCGTGGTAGTTGTATTTTTTCTCCTATGGCTGCTTCTATCTCTTCTGCACAATGACAATTCTCCGGGCCTTACTACGGGTGTCACTACACGGTGATAACCAAGTGATACTCAGAATAAGGCCCGTGATTACCGTACAAATCAAATGGGAATCACATCACCGTGACGACAAGTTCACAAAGTTCCGAACTCTTCGAATGTGAGCCGAGCTTTCTGCGTCACAATATTTAGATGATGTTTGGCCGATTTGACTGCTGCCTCCCAAAGTCCTCCCATATGTGGCGAGCCGGGTGGGTTAAAATGCCACTGTGTACCACCCATCGCTAGGAAGTCCGCTACACGATTGTTGTGGTCGGATGAACTGATTTTCCGATACCAATATCTCATTTCGTTGTCTGCTCCCACAAAATTGGTGCCATTGTCGCTGTACATATGCCCACAGTGACCTCGTCTAGCCACAAATCGTCGCATGGCTGCCAAAAATGCTTTCGTGGAGAGCTTGGAGACCGCCTCGAGATGTACTGCTTTGGTCGCGAAGCAAACAAAAATTGCTATGTAGCCTTTGATTGTGGGTGTTCCTCTTGTGCGCTTTTCCACCAGTGTGATTGGCCCTGCGTAGTCCACTCCGCAGTGAAAGAAGGGCGGTGCTGGTGTGACTCTAGTTTCCGGAAGTTTCCCCATGATTTGTTGCAACATGCCACGATTTGGGGCGTTCTTGTGGCATGGGACACATTTCCAGATGGTGTTTCTGGCTAATTTCCTTCCATGTGGAACCCAGAACGTTTCTCTGACTGCGGACAGTACACACTACCAAAAAGTCATGTAAATTTCCGTGCCCTGAGACCGACACATGCAAGCGGCCCAAATGACATAAGAATCAGTTGAAAGAAACGAGAAAATAAATTCAATCAATCATACTTTTCGTCGAGTTGCGTATTTTTCGGTTTGGGAACACTTAATTTTACATGACATGCTTGTTTACGTTCCATAATTTACGTCAAAGATGGATCACGTCTCGTGTAAAAATAGTTATTCTTAAGTGTGTAGCGAAGTCGCTCCGAGATGGTGGTTACGAAGGTGTTCGTGGTTGAATATTATGGCAGCTAATCTACTTTCTGCCGGGATGATCAGTGGGTGCTTTGCTGTGTATTCCAGGTTAGATCTGGCGAGCCGGCCGCCCACCCTGAGGAGATTGCTTTCGACGAACGGGCTTAGCGGTAGCAGCTTGCTTCGATCCGGCAACGGTTTGCATTTCTCTAGTGCTGAAATCTCTGCCGCATATGATTGGTGTTGCGTGTAGCGAATGAGCAACCTTTTTACTGCATTGATTTCGATGACGGATAACGGTCCGACAGTTCGTTGGGCTCGTTCCAGCTGGCAATTCTCGCTGAATCGGATGATCCAAGCTGTCACCCTGAGAAGTTTCGTGTAGGACGAGTATTTGTGGAGTATATCCTCGATGACGTCCCTATATGTCATGAGGTATACACACTACCAAAAA